AAAAAAAAAAAAAAAAAAAAAGGAAAAAAAAAAATCACGAAAAAAAAATCACCTAAACAAAAAAATAGAAAAATAATGTGCATTTCCTGAAAATCGAAAATTTGGAAATACGTTCGGGGCGGACACCTCGATGTCCGGAAGGAGCAACTCGGACATCGGCCTCGAACGTCTCCATCCGACCACGGGCGGCCCACCGGGGACCACATCTCAATCAAAAAATCGCGCTGGGACCCGGTAGGCCGCGAATAACCAGCCGCGCAGCCAAAAAAGGCCGATTACGACGAACTGGTACATCGACATTTTATACTGGCGGGGGGAGTGGTGGTTTAAGCTAGATTAATTTAGGTGAAATTCGGAGTTTAGGGTAAGCAAATAACAATAGAGTAGGGTAGTGGACTTAGTTGCACTAACAGGAAGACCTGGAAAGAGGTGCTGGAGGGAGTGTTGTAATAGGTTGGTGTCAAGTTAGGCTCCACAGTCCGAGTTAGGACCAGGTTAGTTTTCCGTTAACGTAGTTGTAGCCTCCGTGGAACAGCATTCCACAGGCTGATGTAGGCCAACCCCAGGGGGGTGGTTGTACAGTGGCAGTAGCATAGTGTAGGCGAGTAGATTGCAGCCTTCGGGCTTTCAGGCCATAAGCTAAGCTGGATGGTGCTTTCAGGCCATAAGCTAAGCTGGATGGTGCTTTCAGTTATCTCCGGGAGTAATGCTGAGGTTCCCCGGCCTCAGTTCTGGATTTATGAATGAAATTTGAAAAACAAAAAATGGGAAACTACGCGGGAGTCACAAATCACAAAACTCAGTTATAGTTGCACTACTGGCCACGATACAGTTTCAAACTGCAGTTGGGGCAATGTATACAACTCACCTCTCTGGCCAGGTAGGGTGCCCAAAGTGCAATTGCAAACTGTTTCTTGCTCCGTAGTGCAATTGCAAACTGTTTCTTGCCCCCTAGTGCATGTGACTCTACTGAAGTCAACCCCCGCCAAAAAAACGAGAGGGTGATAAGAGCATCCTTATGGACCTTATCAAGCAGAGCCCATCTATTGGTGGAGAGCTGTGCCTGGTGGAAACCTGGCCCAGAGTTCCTTGAAACATATCAGATAGGAATAAAGAATGTGCTGGGAACGGGGCCCAGCTTCCCTTGAAATAATGTACTGAGAATGGCCTCAGCATCCCTTGTTCATCTCAAATAAATCCGATACTGAATGGAAAGGGCCCAGTACCATGGAACAGGCACCTATTTGAACCGGGAATGCTTTTTCTTCCCCTTTAAGGCTTTACCTGCCCGCCGCCTGCAATCTGCAATCTGGCAGGCAACGATTTCGTTTTTTTTTTTTCTTTTTCTTGCCAGCTCTCTTTTTTTTTGTTGTTTTTGAGTTGCGTCTTTCCCCTCTTGTGTAGTCCACATGCGCAGATGAACCAGCAGGAAACTTGCAGTCTGCCCTTCGGCACATCGCTTAAATTTCGAAAAATCGAGAAACGGTCTAAATTATGGACATACTCACACTAGCACGTACAATAGCAAATTATATGTGAGCCAATTTGTGATTATATGGCGCTTCCCAGTCACACAGCACACCCGTATATGTCCCAAACCCGAAAGGACACAGTATTGATCTGCTCTAGGAATGTGATTATACGGGTGGAGGGGTCACACAGCACGATGGATAAAAATCCATCCCTTTTTCTTGTTTTTTTTTTCTTTTCTTACGAGAGCTGCCCACCAAACCTTGAATTCTTTTTTTTTTTGTTTCCAGAAAGAAATAGGTCTAAAAGAAATAAGCAATTGCGGGGACCTCCAGAGGTTCCTATAACATGCGTAACCCCGCGGCTGTCCAAGCCTCTGAAATTTATGTGCCCATTTGCATGAAAACGCAAAATACCTAGCCCGTGTGACCCAAAAAATCACCTATAATTTACGATTTTATGAAAATGCGTGCTAGTGTGAGGGCATACTCACACATGAATAGCAAAGTTGCACTGCTATTTTGAGGTTTAGCTGTGCTGCGTACTCACACACGGCTGCCTTTTTGAATGAGACATTGCCCCAATGTTCTGAAAATTGGTCCATTTGGTATCAGCGTGGTCACACAGCTGACAGCAGATGGTGGAATATTTTTTATTGGCCTTTCAACTTTTCATGTCTCCTTTTTTTTTTTTTTTTTTTTTCCCTTTCCTATAACGTTTGGGACTGCATAGTCATGACTTCGAAGGTTTCGCCTGGCTGAGGCCAGCGCCGGCCACTGTGGTACCACTCCGATGGGCCAAGCGCTCGAATCCACGTTACCGTGTGCTGAGAGGCAGAAAAAGAGCTGGCAGCACGGTTCTTTGCACCTGTCCACATACATGTCCTCGTTCAAGCCCTCCTAGAAAAGAGCTGGCAGCACAGTTCCTTGCACCTGCCCACATACATGTGCTCGTTCAAGCCCTGAAACTGCGCAGAGGGCAGCGGAATCTGCGTCTATTCTTGCAGAGGGCTGACTGATCTTGCGGAGGGGAAGGCTATTCGCATGCGGGAAAGGGGGGAGAAACTGCGGAGGAGGGCGGAAGGGCAGCGCACGCAGGTACGCAACCCTAAACCTGGGGGCGGAAGGGACTCCGCCACTACGGACAAACCGGTTACACAAGGGCATTCTGCTGTGCATGAAGGCGATGACGCCAAAAATGATACAGCCACTGTATGACTGTCCTGTTGGTAACCAAACATAGCAATTTTGGACTGTAGTAGGCACGAAGTTGCGTTTTCTGGCCTGTGGAGGTTTCTTTTTTTTTTTTTTACGAAAATCAAATGCAAATTTGCGAGGACCTCTACAGGTTCTTGCAATTTGCTGAACCCGGCCGCCCACCGGGCAGATGACAAATACTACACTGTTTGTGATTTTGCTGGGGGTGGGGGGAAAGTGTGACTGCAAATCATCATCAGATTTTGCGACTTTGAGGGCAAGATTCATTCTCATTTTGCACAACTGGCAAAATCTATCCGAACGGCCTCTCTCTCTCACACACACACACACACACACACACACACACACACACACACACACACACACACACACTCACCTTCGCACGGCAGCAACTCCAACCAGCGAACCTGAAGAGACTGACTGCTGCAGCATTTTCGGTGGCCTGCTGCAAGGGCGTCACAGAAAGATGCACGCCTCTTGTGAGGGCATTTCGAGGAAGTACCAACGAAAAGCTATCCGCGGTCGGGTAAGGGCGTAGCTGAAAGTTGTGCCCCATATTGACAGGGGCCTGCAGAAAACATCAGAGGCCACAGGGCGGCGTTCAGAGGGGCATGCGGCAAATTAATGGAAATTTCAGGGGCATCTCAAAAATTTTCCCAAAAATAAAACTTGCAATCCATTTGCCCCTTTTTGACTGGGTCCACACACATTCTTTCCCCGTTGTACTACCGAGCCTTCCTCTGTGGGCCTTCCCTGAGCCCCGAAATCTTTGTAACGAGCCTCTCCTGATTCCCGACTTGCCTGGGCCCAGGCGAACGCTTATCATCAACAGTTAGCTTCCGTTTGCACGCACCCATAAAATCGCGCTATATTCCGCTGCTCTTTTTTTTAATAATAAAAAAAGAGGAAGGGCGACGGCCTTGAGATATCATCATCGCTCGCCCCCCCCCCTCCTCCTCCTCTCAAAAAAAAAGAAAACAGACATCATCATCGCGTTCACCAGCCCCAGGTAATTCAGCAATACATACATCCAGGTCTCTATGACGATTCGAGCTTGGGTCTGATTCATATTTCAACAGTTTCACGGGTGTACCAACTGAGCTAGGCTCGCTCTCTAATCTGCGTCTCCGTTTCAAGAATGAGATAATCCAACTAACACCATCCTCCTCCTCCTCCTCCTCCTCCTCATCCTCATCGTCAACCCCATCCTCATCCCCATCCTCATCAGCATTATCATCATCTTTGCTGTCGTATAATACCTTCTCTAGACACATCCTCATCCCCATCCTCATCACCCTTATCATCATCATCACCCTTATCATCATCTTTGTTGCAATAGAAAACCTTCTCCATTCCCTCTCAAAGATCGCATCTCAGGAGTTATGGACTGAGTTTTCGTACGCCTCGAATGCCCAAGTATACTGCGTGAGATTGTTTATTTCCGTCTAATCTAAGTCTTAGACTATTCTATTCGTTTTTTTTACTTTTATATCAAACTGAGGACGAAGCTATGACTGTGATCTGGACTGTATAATTAGTGTCTCATATATATATATATATATAGTCATGTAGTACGTCTAATTATGTCTATTGTATAGTCACGAAGAACACTGATGTTTCTTGTTTTGATATTTTCGCTTGGATAGAGTTCGATCTCTAGCGGCCACAGCCGTCTTAGCGTCACCGGCCCTCGGTCTGGAGTCATCAGCCCTCCGTTCTACTGAGTTTTTTTGTCCAACTTCTTCTTTTCTCAATTTGTCTGTGTCCAGAGTTTTTCTTCTTTCCTTTTTCTTCTTTCTTTCTTTTTTTTCCAATTGTTAAGTTCTCTGTAACCATAATGACGAGTGACCCTTGTTTTCGACGAAGCATAGGGAGGGGAAGCAGTCGATGGCCCAGTTGGATTATGGCACTCATGCGCAGAGGAGGAGGGCACTCCCCCTCCCCCGCAGCCATCATAGCATCAGGCCTGGTTGCTCTGCTCTTGCTGTTCGTCAAGTTCCCGGCATCGACAGGAGAAGAAGCTCCGACCTTGTCGCCATCGCCGTCATCGTGGTCGTCGCCGCCATCGCCGTCATCGCCGTCATCGCCGTCATCGCCGTCATCGTCTTTGCTCCCAACATCATCGCCGTCATCGTCTTTGCTCCCAACATCATCGCCGTCATCGTCTTTGCTCCCGACATCGTTGTCGTTGGGGAAAAACGTTTTCGGATGGGCCGTTTCCAGCAATTATGGCTTTTCGTCGAGTTCTAAAAACCTCAGCGGGCGGAGATCAGGACGTCTGCAGACGCATAGACGGACCGGCAAGAGAGAGTCTCAGACAGAGAGAGTGCTACGGCGACCAAGACAACTGCGGATGCATAGACAGTCCGGCGAGAGAGAGACAGAGTCTCAGAGACTGCTACGGCCAACAGTCGAGGACGCTTGCGTTCGGTGGACCTTCCAAGAGACCGCCCTCCTGCAACAACCAACCTGCAAGGTGCTTGTCGAACATCGCTCTTCGCTTACTCCACTCCTGAATAGTCCGGACACGACGTGCTCGACGCTTATGCGCAACATCGTGCTCCATTCCGATGGGGGAGTCTTCTTCTTCATTTTCGAGGAGAGATGTGATGCTGACAATCGCAAGGCCGTGCAATCCCAGGTCTCCGTCCATCAGGGTAATCTCCACGTGGCCGGCGGGGAGGCCCCCAGGATAAGTTACTGGTGGAATTCAACGGATTTGAGCGGATCCCGGCGTCCCAACTCCACGATCTCCCGCGATTACGATTGCGATCGGCTGATGGATTACCCATCCGGCATGGTGCTTTCCACGTCGGGATCCCAGCTGCTCCTTGTCGGGTCGCTGCAGGATTACCCGGGCACGTCATGGCTGACAGCGTTGAGGATCGCAGATGGGTCCAGGTCTTCCACGAGGTTGCCGATAGAGTCTGCGGAGGGGCTGAGCTGGGATCCCGGCATGGCGAGGCTTTTCATGTCGGCCAGCACCACGCCACCCACGTCAATCTCCTCTGCCGATGTCACGCTCGATGCCAACAGCACCTTTGCCAATCGGACGCTGTCTCTCTCTCAAGTAGCGCAATTCGAATCGCATCTGGGCTTCAACATCTCGAAACCCTACTTCGGCCCTCAGAGCTTCACGAGCGACGGCAAGTGTCTGTACTTCATTGATCGGACGGCTCCTAGTGAGGTGTGGGCGTTCCATCCATCGTCTCAGAATGCTACACTGGTCGCCGGCAGCAGATCGCTCTCATCAACACGCGTCGTCCCCGCAGAGCGAGCTAATGCCACCAGCAGCAGCGCGAGCAGTGCTGACGTGGATGGCTTGGAGGCATCCTTTGGGGAATTGCTTGACATCGCTGTGGTGGGCGACGGGCACCATCTGTTCGTCTCGGAGTCGAGGACCGGTCGAATCTTATGGATCGAGATGGACTCACCGTGCACCAGAGCGAGCAGAGTAACAGACATAGCCACGTACCTCAGGCAGGAGCCTACCGGAGTCTCCGGACTGGCGGTCCAGGGGGAAGGGCAGATTGTCAATCTGATCGTGGGAGTCGACGACGGCCATATTTTCCAGCTCAGCATGTTCTTGAATTCTTCCGTCCCTTTCTCTTTGCCGTCGCCATCGAGGACCGGTCCGATGCCAGACCCCCACGCGTCGCTCCGTGCACGTCCTTGTGTCCCTGAACCATATTCAGAAGTTTCGTCAGAACTTTCGACAGAATTCTCTCCAGAACCTCCAGAACTTTCTCCAGAACGAGGAAGCGCTAAGAGGGTGGTAGTTGTCGTCTGTGCGGTTCTAAGTAGCGTTATCTTGTGCTTGATTTGTGGTTTGTCTGGTTTCCTCGTCATGAAGAGGCCGTGCTCTAGCATCGTTGCGCGCTAGCCCGTGGAACTCCCCGTAGCTCGACAAGTCTTCGCCCGGACGTCCTCCCCCGTCGTAGGACAGCGCATTCCAAAGCCCCTCCTTCCGTAGACTTCCTAAATCTCCGATCATCCCTTCGAAGACCGTGGTCTTACTATATCGAATCGATGCTCAGGGATATCGACGCAACTCAAGGACACGTCAGCAGCGCCTCTGGTACTCTCTCTCTCTCTCTCTCTCTCTCTCTCTCTCTCTCTCTCTCTCTCTCTCTCTCTCTCTCTCTCTGTGTGTGACTGATGAGTTGGTGAAAGTCCGACGGAGCAGTCTGGCACAGTCATGCCTTTTCGTGGAGTTGTATACAGCGAACATGACACAGCGCACAACCCCCCGCCCTCCCACCCCTCCCCTCTCTTTCGCTCTGTGTGTGTGTGTGTGTGTGTGTGTGTGTGCGTGCGTGTGTGCGTGCTCCCGTGTGTGTGGTGATGAGTTGGTGAAAGTTCGACGGAACAGTCTGTCACAGGCATGCCTTTTCGTGGAATTGTATACAGGGAACATGACACAGCGCACACCACGCCACCCCTCCCCCCCCAACAAACACAAACTCACACTCATCTCGGTTTCTGGGGGGGGCGGGGGGGGGGGGGGGGAGGGGAAGGCAGATTACCGCAGGACCTTCTATAGTGATGGAGCGTCATCCAATCAAGCTAGGTCTGAATGGGGATTGTGTATTATAAGGTTGAACAAACGACGCGGAAAAGGTGGTAGCTTGGCCATTGTAATGATATCCTGTCTGTTCTTCTCCTCCCTTTCCGTGAGCCATCATAAATTTGTCGCACACTGTCGCACACGGTCGTTCGATCTACTCCAGAACGGTTCAGGCCATTTGCACACGGTATCAGTTCGACAGTCACCGCGATTACAGTCAGATATCTCCGAAGAGTGCCAATATGGGCCTCGCTGCACTACTCTGGAAATGTGCTAAACGAAAATGAATCCTCATGGAAAGATACATCGCCATATTTTTTTGTCGTTTGTGCATGTGGAGAGAAGTGCAGCGACGCTCTACGAGTAGTCGTCGAGGGTTCAGTAGATCCCACTCATCACTCACCAAAGGGACCCCCCGTGCCGTGGCGGGAAAGGGTGTGGGGGCCGAGGGGGTAATCGAGAAGGGGGAAGGTGGGGTACGGAGTGGAGTAACTGGAGTTGTTGTTGGGGGGGGAAGGGGAGGTTGAAGGCATAAACAGGCCAATTACAACTGATTAAGGGCATGGCCACACGAGTCTCGAAATATGCAAAATCCCGCCCCTCGTTTCCCGCGCGCTTTTTTCCACGCGACTTTCCCGCGTTATTTTCGGTGATGAGTTTTTCGGCGCTACGGTAGTTCTCTGTGCGTCCCACGCAGTTTTTTGGGCGCTTAGAGGGAAAAAAATAGATAAAAAAATTCGGGGCCGTGGTCCGATTAGCAAAAAGCATAGGATTGAATGCCTGAATCTGGACGTGTTTGAGGACAGGAGCAGAAAATCGAGATAGAACTGCTTTTCTGTATCTCTGCATAAAACATAGCCAGATTCAGGATTTCTATCCTATCCCCTTTGCTAGTGGGACCACGGCCCGGGTGTTACTTCGGCCCCGTGTTGTCGGGAGGTTATGGAGGTCGATCCATTTCCTCTGTGTTCATTTTTGTTTTTTATCTTTTCATCACGTCGGCAGTGCTTTACACACTCTCAGAATTTCTTTTTTCTTTTTTCCTGCTTCTGTTTTTCTTTTCTTTTCTTTTTTTTCTTCCCCCCCCCCCCCCCCTTTTTTTTTTTTTTTTTTTTTTTTTTTGTTTTTTTTTTTTTTTTTTTTTTTTTTCCCCCCCCCCCCCCCTGTTTTTTAAACTTTTTTTTTCTATTTCTTGTTTTTCCCCCCTTTCTTCGATTGTTACTATTTGTTGCCAGTCTTCGAAGAAAGGGGAAAAAAAATAAAAATAAAAAAAAATTCCCGTTTTTCAAACTTCTTTTTCTCTATCATGCTGAAACGACTCAGAATGACTCTACTCGTCACATCTTTGGCATGCGAGCTTGCTTCCGTCTATGGAGAGGCGGTGAAGACGATCGTCACGTGTACTGCGGCAATCTCTCCCAGATTCTCCCTCTCTACACACTCTCCTGCATATTGAAATAGAGAGTTCAGCAGAATTGGGCGTAGTAACGGTAGTTGATCTTTTTTTTTTTTCTTTTTTTTTTTGTATCATTGATAATTTACGATGAGGAATTTAGTATGAACGGAAATTCGTTGTCGTTAGTTTTGCATGAACAGAGATTGGGTGTAGCTCGTTACAGGGAAGTGAGAATGGCCCCTCAATCTCACTCTTAATTGTCCGGAATCAATCTCAGTCTCTCAGAGATCGGGTTAATCTCGTTAGAGGGAAGTGAGTATGCCCTCAATCTCAGTCGAAATAGTCTGGAATCAATCTCACGTGTACCTACAGTATTGGTTTCCTTAAAAAAAAAAAAAAAAAGAGGATTGGTTTCCTGATCTTGCACTGTGCTCAGCAGACGCTTGGCATCTGATCTGATGCCATCATGCCAGAGATAAGAGAATTATCGCAGATATCTGGAAAACGTGGGGGCGTCCTTCTAGCCATTTCATATTTAATTTTTGCTCTGAAGGGCGAGTCCTGGAAGTTGTGGCTGACCTCAACTTTGAAAAATGACTGAAAAAATGGCTGGGAAACGTACTGCTGGTGGGTTAATATGTGGCCTGGCTGTAGAAGGAAAAAAAAGTTAAAAAGCTCGAGTGAGCGCATCTTCCCCTGGAAGAGGCAAGATGCATACGGTGGTGCTATTCATATTAACGGATGTATCTTGCCACTGTCTGCAGGAATATCCAGTCGTACTTTTTGGTTTCGACACTGGTGTGCCGAGCCCCATAGAGTAGTAATTTTGAAACTTCTACAGCGTACTCTCATGGATGCACCTGACCACAGTCCACAGGCAGGTTCAAGAAGTCCCACGGCGAGACTCAGTATGAGCCTTATACTGGAAGCCACTTTACTATTATAGAACAATCTATGGAACAAAATCGGAGTTTATCTGGCTCGATAGACTCTGAATGTGTCCCCGATAAGGGCCACATTCATTACTCATGTTGTTTAGTAGCGGTGCATTAGTGACAAGAAGGCATTCCGTTGCGTTGGTCATTGAGATATTAGACCTTTCTATTCTAATTGTTGTGTATGGTGGTTGGACTTTCTGGGTGATTTGTTGAAGATCTCGTGGAACTCTGGTGGTTGTGATCTCTGTAGGGTTATGGGTTTGTTAGAGTAGAGTAATTTCGGAATTCTCTTTCGTTGTGGGGCTATTAGATTTTGTCGAGCTTTGTTGATATTTTTCCACAACAGGTTATGCCGACGTCCATGGTAATTGTTATGACCTGTTGTGGAACTTGTGGGTACTGTGAGGTTTAGGGTTTAGGGTTTAGGGTTTAGGGTTTAGGGTTTTTCCATTGGGTATTCTTGAAAGTTTTGAAACTTCGTCTTCCATAGGCCCGGCGTAGGGAATGTCGTGTGTTCAGGGCTTCAGGGCTGCACGGGAGTTTTGCATTGGGCCATTGGCCACTGCGAAGCCACCAGTACTAGGCCCATACATTGGCCGTGGGAAAAAATGGAGTAGAAGTGTTTCTAGTCGGATGAATTTGGACGCTTCCGAAGTGGCCCGTTCGTTCAGCATTGTCGCGGTTGGCCGGTAATGCGCCGTCGCTTTCGAAGGTACTGGTGGTTATGATGTGGCCGAACCCCAACAAATTGTTTCGAGGCAGCCGATTCAAGCATACAAATTGCGCGACAGGGATTTTTGTTTTCTGAGCTGCTTCTGTTTGTAGGACTTCAGGTATGTTGTTCAGATAATTATTTTGTTTGGCGAATTGCCTTGGGGTCCCTTCAAGTTGAAGGTCAATCTAGTAAATAGTTGGCCTGATGTGGTAGGTTGGGGTATCTGCATTCTTTTTGGAGGTATTTTCGGAATTTCCAAGAAAATAGATTGTGGCTGTTTGGTGATTGGGAATTCTGTGAAATCCTATAGATCGCGGTAAGAAGGGGAATTCCATCTCCTGTGAGAGGTGAGGCTCAGCCTGGGGAGAGGGTCCAAGGCCAGGTGAATTCTGTAACTGTGCAGTGTGGACTACTTAGAATTTGGTTGACGTAAGGCCTGGGCACTGGGCCCGTTTGAAATGAAATTTCCAAGGCAGAAGAAAAAAAAGAGGGGATCTGAGATTTGTGTTTCTTTCCAGGGCGGCGCCGGCACTTGGCCAAGTGGTAGCACTAACTAATTATGGCCGAAGCTGCTGCCGGTGCCAGGGCGAGGGCATTTGCCAAAGGGCCGCGGCTCAGGCTGCCATACCCAGCCTGACAGCCACTCCCTCATGGCCCACGGCTTCTACTCCGGGGTCATCCGAGTGTGGGAGCAGCGTGAAGACAGCGTCGTGCGGAATTTGAAGTTCAAGTGCCTTCTGGCTGTGCCCTTTTATACCATATTGAGGATGGCATTCAGTTTATTTGTCTCGCTTAGCACAATTTATGTGAAACTAAAGTAGCACCTGCTTGACCATTTGACAAACTAACACCATCCATTTCAAAAATAATTTGTCCTCGGGAAACACGAGCAAATTCGGAGCAATCCAACCTCTAGGGATTCCTTTTCCTTTTCCCATCCTTACTTCTGTAGCCTGTAGGTTTGCTGGTAATAGGAATATTAATCGGAATACAGAGATTGCACGTTGAAGGTTGGCTACCAGAAAACTGGTTTCTTTCGGCTGGCCAGAGAGACTCGTGACCAACGCCCAGATAATATATATATCGACGAAGGCGCATCACTTCGTGTGTCCTCTTTATGCACGGCACATCATAACCAAATAGTTGCTTCGCCAATGAAGGATTTCGTGCAATAGAATGAATCAAAGAACTAAACACGTGTCCACATCTTGAATCGGCTGCCTCGAAACAATTTGTACGCTTTCTCCTGGCCGAACCCTCACCGGGCTCACCTCACCCTCTATGTCCGAGTTCGTTA